GTCACTGGCATAGGCTGCCCAGAGAGGCTGTCATTCCTGGAAGTGTTCAAGACCAGGTTGGACAGGGCTTGGAACAACCTGGGCTAGTGTAAGGTGTCCCTGCCCATGGCAGGGGTGGAATGAGATGAGCTTTAGGGTCCTTCCCAACCCAAACCATTTTGTGATTCTATGACACTTGCTTGTCTCCCCAGTGCTGGGAGACGTGTGTGGGCCAGGACCTATATCGCTTTGTGGTGATGGATTTCATATTCACCTTGCTGGACACGCTCTTCAGGGAGCTGGTCTGGAGGTAATGTGCCCCAGGATGTGTTCCCCTGCTGGTGATGCATCCCCACACAGCCCCAGCTCTCTGGTGTGCCCAGGCTCTGCCGCTGTCAGAGAGGGAAGGCAGGGTGTGAGGGGCTCCCTGGGCAGTGTGAGAGCAGAGCTTTGCTCCTCCCCAGGCTGATCCTGGAGAAGAAGAAGCAGCGGAGGCCAGAGTTTGATATTGCCCGAAACGTGCTGGAGTTGATCTACGGGCAGACCCTGACCTGGTGAGATGTCTCTGCCTGGCACAGCTCCTTCCTCTCTTGGCAAATGCCTCGTGGTCCCCAGGAGCCCTGTGGGTGGTCCCAGCTGTGCTCACCATTAGCTCCCCTGGGGCTCAGACCCAGGCAAACTTGTCTTCCCCCCACTCCCAGGCTGGGTGTTCTCTTTGCTCCGCTCCTGCTGGCCGTGCAGACACTGAAGCTGCTGTTGCTGTTCTATATCAAAAAGGTGTGATTTCTCCCACCGCCCCCACAGCTCCCCAAGTTTCCTGTGACAGGCAGTCCTGTGGTGATGCTGCAGTGACACTACACCCTGCTACCACAAGCCTCTGCTGTAGCAGCCTCATCCTGGTGGCATTGAGGGGGCTTGCTGGGGACAAGGTGTCCCTGAGCTCGCTCAGCGCCCTGTGGGTGAGAGGGAGGGGATGGCAGCCTGTGGGACACTGCTCTCTGTCCATAGACCAGCCTGATGCGGAATTGCCAGTCCCCCAGCAAGCCTTGGCAAGCATCGCACATGAGCAGCGTCTTCATCTCCCTGCTGTGCTTCCCCTCCTTCCTTAGTGCAGCCATCTTCCTCTCCTACACCATCTGGTCGTGAGTACCCACTGGGCCCCTGCTCATGACACGGGACCCCTGGCTGACTGGAGAAGGAGGGGCTTGGGAAGACTGTGCCCCCCAACCCTGGCATCCCCCAGCCCTGGCTGTGTGGTGCTGCCCCAGCCAAGAAGGTTCTGCCCAACTGCTGGCCTGTGCCCACTTCCTCCAGCTATTCCCAGATGTTCATAGTGCAGGACACAGGGATGAGGACCCCATTGTGCAGCTCTGGGGATGATGGGGATAGTAAGGCTGGGTCCCTGGAGGGAGGGCTGGATGTCTGAGCCAGGCACTCCCTGGGCTGGGGGCAGCAGCTGCTGGCTGCTCATTGCTCTCAATGTCCTATGGGTCTGTCTGCACAGGGTGCAGCCGTCAGAATCCTGTGGTCCCTTCCGGGGGCTGGAGACCATCTATACGTCAGTGAAGAGCTCGGTGCTAGTGTTGGAGAAGTCCAATTCCAACATCACCTGGTTCATCTGGGTCTACCAGCACCTGATGGAGAACACTTTCATCCTGTTCTACGTGTCTGTGGCTGTGCTGTGAGTATGGACCCAAGCCCAAGGCTGTACCCTGGGCCCTTGCTTTGACAGTCCCACTGTCAATGGCCCTGAGCATGGCTGGTAGCCAGGGTGTCACTCCAGAGCCCTGTGCCCCATCTCAGTGCCAGGAGTGGAGTGTCTCCCAACTTCCTGCCCAGCTGCTACCATCCTGTCCCGCTGTCGTTGCAGAGCTGTGATCTACGTCAATGTCCAGGTGCTGAAAGGCCATCAGAGGGTCATCCGCCTGCTCAAGGAGCGGATCAACAACGTGCGTGAGCACTGCCCCGGCCCCTGCCACACAGCACTGTGCTGGCCCTGGCAGCACTGCCACTCAGCCATCCCACAGCTGCTCACCACACTGTCTCTGCTGTTGCAGGAAGGGGAAGATAAGAGATTTCTCATTCAGAAGCTTCACTCCGTTTATGAGCAGCGGGAGAGACGTGCCTGAGTCTTAGGTGGGGCTGGAAGCTGCAGGATCACAAGGTGCTGGGGAAGATCCTCCCTTCTTGCCACAGCCAAGGGACCCATTGTGGCACATGGTCAGCAGCTCCACAAGGATGCTACAGCACAGGGACACAGGTGCTCCTGCTGCCCAGAGCTACTGGGACACTGCAGGCACAGAACCAGGACTGCTGTCACACCCCAGGACGCAGCTCCATGTGGGGTTACCTTACCAGCACAGCCCTGCACCAAGAGTGGTCACTGCCTGCAGAGAACAGCTCTCCCGCCCTCCCTTCTGCCAACACATCGGCCCCATGGATAACAACCCTGTGCTATTCAGAATCTGTTGGGAACAGTGAAGCTTCCTGGATCGAGAAACCCATAGCCCCCTCCACACTGCCCAGGGGCAGGAAGGCCAGAGCTGGGAGCAGCCAGGCACTGACCCAGGTCCAGTCCCGTGCCTAACTCGCCAGGAGAGCAGCTGGCAAATCCCAGTCCCACGAACAAGGCCACCAGGCCACCCCCAGCAGCCCTGCACATGCTACATTGTGATAGGATGGACTTGGAATAACTACCATGGTGTTGGCCTGGGCTAGGACCCTGCGGGCTCAGGCTGACCTGGCCCATTAAAGCAGTGCTGTGCAGGACAGCTCTGGCTGGTGTCTGGACCTGTTGGGCTGGAAGGGGGTAGGTGGGGTTGGTGTGTCAGCATTTATTGTGGTGACTCAGTAGCTGTGTGTGTCAGGGTGTGCTTAGGCTCTTCAGCACTGCCTGTCTGGGTCAGAGTCCAGTTCAGCCCACATGGACAGAGCAAGGGCCACTGCTGCCCCACGAGCCATCCCAATGCAGTGTCTGCAGCCCCAGCACCAAGAGCTGCTCCCCTCCACCGCACACTGCCAGCAGCCCCAGGCCCTGGACAGCAGCTGCCCCAGTGCCACAGCACCAACAGGCCCAGAGCAGTGTGTGCTGCAGTGTGTGCCAGGCATGAGCAGTCACTGGTACCCTGTGCTTTGGCACTGGTGCTGCTGGGTGAGGCAGCTTCTGCCTGGCTGGGCCGTCAGTGCAGTCACAGGGCAAGTTAGCGTGGGTAGACACTGGTTACCGGCGTGGACACAGGGCAGGTTCTCTGCACAGCCCCAGTCCTTCTCAGGATGCATTAGGAAGAACAGTGAGAGCACAGCAAGGGAGGTGATCCTGGCCCTCTGTTCAGCCCTAGTGAGGCCAAATCTGGAGCACTGTGTCCAGTTCTGGGCTCCTCAGGAGAAGAGAGATATGGAGCTCCTGGAGTGGGTCCAGCAGAGGCTACAAAGAGGATAAGGGATTGGAGCATCTCACAAGGAAAGGCTGATGGAGCTAGGCCTGTTCAGCCTTGAGAAGGGATGGCTGAAAGGGACCTCACTCATGACAGTATCTGCAGGGAGGAGTCAGAGGGTTGATCAGGCTCTGCTCAGCAGTGCTGAGCAATAGGACAAGAGGCAACATGTAGCACCATATCTGCTTACTGCCAGCAGCTCCCTGCACATTGCCATGCACACAATTGAGCAAACCTTGGCGCAAACCACAGCTGTGTGTGTAGAAATAGGTAGATAATTTCCAGCATATTTTGGAAAGACTTCTAGGTTCGTGCATGAGGTAATTGTGTGCTCATGCGTGAAATAATTGGGTATTCATGCATTAAATAATTGTGCATCCATGCACAAAAAAAATCAGCC